GTTATCCGGAAGTCAAATTCATAGTCAGTAAATAGATCTTTGAAGCCCTATAACTTTTATCTGACATTTTTCTCTAAAATATCGCGTTATCGAAAAAATTGGGTGACTCGGGTGGTTTGAAATACCGGATATACACCCTTATTCGAGTATTATATCTCATTCGAGTATTACAGTTGATGGTTAACTCTACAATTACACTGAAAACGAACACTATCAAAATGAATATGATATAGTTAAATGAAAGTATATTTAGCCCATTTATTTATTCGATCAATATCTTATTTTTAAGTTCTTCAGTGAAAACAACAAATAAACAAAGACTTAACGAACATATGCTTTCATTTGTCTATATTGCCGTCTATTGCAATATTTGGGTGCATTTAATTTCAGGATTACCTTTTCAGGATTTTATTTTGGTGTTATTTTAAAGTTTTCTTGATTGTTATTTTGAGGGTTTTCGTTGAGCGTTAACCCTCATTTGGATGTAACCTTCAATTGACGATCCGAAATCACACCCAATTTGAGTTTATTTTCGGTGTTAACACCCAAAATTGAGGGTTTTTTTTCATAAGGGTAGTTGCGTAGCCACACGGAGATTGTGCGAATTGGAGTATGCGATGAATCTTTCCGATACGAAGACCATGACACATGCACTGCAGGTTGCAATATTGAATAACATAACGCTGCTTATTATATAAAGTCGCAAGGAATTTCTCTTACTTTTTGCCCGGTGGCTTGGTTCGCGTCGGACAGAACGGTAGATCTGCGTGTGCATCATGCAGTTATTGGGAATACTGCAAATCGACCTCGAAAATGTAACCTGTAGGCGAATCCAGCGGGATTGATGATACATCAAAATTCGACGTATCATCAAACCACTTAAATTTGGCGTATGGTAACGGTTGACACATTGCCCAGCCATACAAATTATTTATATCAAAGTACATGAGGTATGAGGATGGCTTCGATGGGTCATAGGATTGCATATATTGGTTATTGGCTCTTGCATATCTATCGGAACATTGACTAAGACCACCACGTATACCGCGTTCGATAAACATTACCATATCAATATCTGTGAGCAATTCAAAATTAATTTTTGTATGTTTTAACATCGCGATCCACGTGAAACCTGGCAATATGTAATAATACGCGGGATCTAGACCGTAATTTTTGATACAATTATCGAGGAAATTCTTGAACACATCAGCCAATAATAAAACATCAGTCTTCAGGTACAAACCGCTATATTCGTTTGTAACGGTAACGCCCGCGGGGTTCGGTGCGATCGGTCGCCCCACCGTCGCACCCGGCTCGCCGCTTCCGCGACGCCTCGCTCGTCGCCGCGTCGGTGCGTTACTCGGGTGAAGGGCAAGTTCAAGGTAGCTTCTTGGAAGAAAGATGCGTTCAGTGTTTCGGTATTAACAATTTGGGTGCGTCCCGCAAGGCGCCCCCGTTTATTCAAAAGACGTCCGGTTGCTATATAATAGATATATGTATATAAGTGTAGGTGGGCGGCTCGCTGTCCCGGGGTGGCGTCGGCGATGCCCGTTCCTCGGTGCCCGTGACTCCCCGCTTAGCCGCAAGGATGGTCCCCTATCCGCGGGGTCAGAGAGGATGTTCCGCGGCCTATTGGCAGTCCGACGTCCTCGGCCACGAGTCCTGTTGAGGGCGCTTTACGCCAGCTGTCCTCTGGATAAGTTGGAGGCGGTTTATTCCGGGTAGCTCACCACAGTCACAAGTCGGACTAGCACTGATGATTTCGCGAACAGATACTTCGGAAATATTCTTCGTCGGTGGCCAACGGCTGCCGACGCAGACGGACGAACACTTGTAAATCGGTGAACAGATACTTAGAAATATCCTGTGCCGGTGGCTAACTGCTGCCGACACAGACGGACGAGCACGTATGAATCCGTGAACTGATACTTAGAAATATTCTGTGCCGGTGGCTAACTGCTGCCGACACAGACGGACGAATACGGTAATCTCGCGAGCGGATACTTAGAAATCTTCCGTGTCGGTGGCCAACTGCTGCCGACACAGACGGACGAGCACTTATATTCACGAACAGAACTTAGAAATTATTCTATGTCGGTGGCTAACTGCTGCCGACACAGATGGACGAGCACGTATAAATTCGCGAACAGATACTTAGAAATATTCTGTGCCGGTGGCTAACTGCTGCCGACACAGACGGACGAACACTTATATTCGCGCACAGGAACTTAGAGACTATTCTACGTCGGTGGCTATTTGCTGCCTACGTAGACGGACGAGCACTTATATTCGCGAGACGGTGGCTAACTGCTGCCGTTCTTTTGGAAACAGAAACTTAGTCTAATTCGGCGCGGCGGCTAACTGCTGCCTAACGTCGAAGAACGAACACTTAGAAATCGCGGAACGGTGGCTAACTACTGCCGTTCGTTCGGAAACAGATACTTAGTCTATGTCGGCGCGGCGGCTAACTGCTGCCTAACGTCGACGGACGAGCACGTATGAATCCGCGAACAGATACTTAGAATTATTCTATGCCGGTGGCTAACTGCTGCCGACACAGACGGACGAATACGGTAAATTCGCGAACAGAGACTTAGAAATATTCTGTGCCGGTGGCTAACTGCTGCCGACACAGACGGACGAATACGGTAAAGTCGCGATGCCTGATCGGCCGACGAGGCTCGGCTGCCGGGTCTTGTAAAATTTCCCGGTGGTTCGGTACGGTGTGGAAGCTTTACTCACCGGCGGATGCCTTGCCTTCTCGTTGACTTTTCTTCACGGTTCTCGCTGGAGCTCTCCTTGGTAACTGTTCTGACTGACTGACTGTCTTTCACGGTCTGCCTCGATCTCTCGTCGAGAGCGGGTTTTTATACCCTAAATTCCTCTCGACGATCGGTGGCCGATAATCGGGGGATTAGTTCCCCCGATTTCCCGGAAAGTCGCGCATGCGATTTCCGCGAATTACCCCTTTCTGGGGGGGACCGATCTTCCCCGACCGTTTCGGAGAATTCGGCCTTTCCCGGCGGTCTGGCGGGTTGCCGCGGCATAGGTGTTGCCGGGTGCTTAGCGAGGATTTCTCGCGATCGTGTGACGATCGGTGGTCGCCGTCACACGATGGTAACGGGGGTAAAACTCCTCGTTACATGTTTAAGTTTTAAATAAAAAAACTGTTCCCATACGTTTACGGCGTGCGTGTAATCGTTCTCAGATATTATATCATCTGTCAACGGTGAAGGTACTTTATCAAAATCTGCTGCGCGGAAATGGTTCGCTCGCTTTTGTTCTGGTAATATTGATGTGAAAGATGAGTCACGCTCTGGTCGTCCAATCACTGAAGAAGCTGATGAAATTCTTGAAAAAGTCCAGCAAAAATAAGCGTATCAGCAGTGTTGATATTGGTATGGAGCTAGGCATTGACCACAAAACTGTTTTGAAACCATTTACACAAAGCTGGCTACAAAATGAAGCTCGATGTATGGGTTCCTCATGAGTTGAGCGCGAAAAACATGATAGACCGAATTAACATCTGCGATGCGCTGTTAAAACGCAATGAAATCGAGCCATTTCTGAAACGTGTCATAACCGGTGATGAAAAAATGGATCACATACGACAATCCGAAGCGTAAAAAATCGTAGATAAGGGATGGTGAGCCGTCACAAGCGTTCGCGAAGCCAGGATTGACGCCGAAAAGTGATGCTTTGTGTGTGGTGGGACTGGAAGTGAATCGTCCACCATGAGCTACTTCCAGTAGGTCAGACGATTGATTCTCANCTGCAATTATTAAACGATCAGCTTGCGCTTGCGAGCGTTCCCGGCGATCCCGATACCCTTGCGCGCTGTTAATGGCTTAATCCGAAATATGCCGGCTGCGAATAATCCCGAACAATTTGCGCGGGCCGGCTTTTCTCGCCTTTCGACGGTCTTGCGCCGCGTCTTTAGCGGTCGCGACCGCGCGGCGGTCGCGATCGCGGGTTATCGCGCGCGCGTTGTTAATGAAGCATTCTCTTTCTATTCGCAGCAACGCGTAGACCGAGAACGTTACGCGAAAGAGAATGGATAACAATGCTCGGCGGGGACGATCCGACCGAGTAACGGCGCCAAATGAAGCGCCACCGGCCGCGGAGAATCTCCCGCGCGCGATGGTCACTCATTAGCGGCCAAACGGTCAAACACCAGCGAGTTTCTCCCCCTCCTCCCTCTCCTTCATCTCCATGTTGTCGTTATTGGCCGAGGACCAAGAGATCTCAACGGCCATGTTTCGCGCGGAGTGGGTCGATCCGTTCGACGAGCGTCGCAAGGGTGAGCGCGATCGCGCGCACGCGGACCATCGCCGCCTCGAGAAAGAGAGAGAGAGAGAGAGAGAGAGAGAGAGGGAGATCGGGGAATATCCGATTAAAAACTTCGCAGCTTCGCTTAACCTCGCGAGCCATCGATAGCAACACAATTCTGTAGAGGAGGAGAGCGAGCAAGCGAAGCGGGCCTTAATTAACACGGAGATCAGCTCGGCCAGTCGGATTGGAAATTACTGCGCGGAGTCGCGGCTAAGGTTAATCCCCGGAAAGCCTCCATTCCCGCTCGCGGCGGGAGGGGGTGAAGCAGCGAGCGAGTGGGATACGAAGGAGCCACCTCGTTTTATCCAACGGTTCGGGACACTTTGGGTTTATAGATACGTTTCGGACGTCGAGGCGACGGCCACCTAATTCATACCTAAAGGTTAACCTAAAGGCTACCGCGCGCTGCTTTAAATATGTAACGGATTCACCCGTTCTCTCTCTTTCTCTCTCTCTCTCTCTCTCTCTCTCTCTCTCGGTCTCTCCCGCGCTCGCACTCGCGGCGGAAACGCGGATGAACCGGCGTACGTGCTGATACTCCCGAGGAAGCCGTCGAGAGCGCGATATGACGGCGCGAATGTTCGCCGCGAGTTGAAGATTTATGAGGCCGCTGCTGGCTACGTGCGGCAACATCAAGCTGATTGATACGAAGCAGCGTCTGATTTTATTTTTATACGCCGGATAGACGTGCGGCGCTCACCGAAGCCGGCGGACGTGTTTCGCGAGGGATCGCCGAGAGAGCAGCGGCGCTTCGAGAGCAGGAGGACGCGCCTTGCAAATTGCATCGCGACCTGGCGGTCGCATCTCCAAAGGTGAAAAAGTTCATTCGTTGCGCGCGCGAGAAGCGTCGCTCGATGATAAATCGCACGGCCGAAATCGCGGCCGCGACTCGCAAGGAACATCCGCGAAGTGTGCGTGTCTCTCCGATTTCGACGAAACTTGGCATATTTGTAGATTAGCCCAAAATAAGAGACCCATACTTCTTTTATCGACAATGGCTCAGGCTTAAAGGATGAAACTGGCCCTCAAAGTTTCATCCCCTTTATGTTATCTCGATAATTATTGCAGATAGGAAAAAACTTTTTAAACAAAAATTGCTCAGCATAAAAAACCATACAATTTTTGTTTGAAAAGTTTTTTCCTATCTGTAATAATTATCGAGATAGCATAAAGGGGATGAAACTCTAAAGAGCAGTTTCACCTTTTAAATCGAAATCGGAGACACACTTCGCGGATGTTCCCTGTCAGTCTGATGATGGGTCGCTCTCGAGGAGGGGGGGGGAGGGGGGGAAAGCCCGGCGAAAAGCCCGCTTGGAGCGCAGCGCGGCAGCGAAATTTCCGCCGCTGAAATTTTCCGCCGGATGGCGGCGCCGGACTTATTAAGGAACGGCGTGCTTAGTTTTTGTCGCCGACGCGGAGCGGCAGATTTCAGGACGCGCGGCTGAACGGCTCCTGCGAAAATGCGAGCTCCCGCGTCGCGTCGTGTCATTACCGCCCATTTAATCCTGCGCGTTACGAGACTCTCGCGACGCGCTCGACGCTACCGGTAACCTGCAGACTCGCCAAATCCTAAAACGAGCGCGATAATATTTTTCTCACGGAGGCGCCTCTCGCGATATTTTCGTGCTCGGGCCGCGCGGGCTCTCAGGCACTCCGGATCGATACCGTTAGCGAGTTTGCTGCGCAAAAGCTCGATTGACACGCGCACGCGAATTATGCTCTTTATACGTGACGCTCTCGAGCGCGCATCGAGCGATACGCGCGAGTTACTGACGCGCCGCAAGAGCGGAGCGGATCATCGGCTGAATGAAAAAGCTCTCGGACACACTCGACATGGGATCTCTTTTTGTGTGTTGTAACAGGTTCAGCATGAGCAGGGAAGGGTTTTAGCAACGGGCGGAGCGCGAAGCTAAGAACGCATGCCTAAATCAGCCCGGGAAGCAGCTAACTTGCTGACTAAGCGGCTAACGGGTCACTTCTAGGGGATAATAGGTAAGTTGAGAAACGCACAAGAGCGCCGCTCGAGTGTCCGCAGTGCGGAGGAACTTGGCGGGATTTAAATATCAGTCGAAACGAGAGAGAGAGAGAGAGAGAGAGAGAGAAGGAAAACGAGCGTCGTCCGCTGCTAATGAGAAATCTTCCGCGTCAGATGCGACAGGTTAAAAAATTCCGCTCGCGCTCGCGAGCTCGGCTAATTAATTATCGACCGGCAGATCGTCTCGTCACGCTCTCGCTCGTCGATGATGGAGGCTCCACTTCGTCGATCCGAAAGACGGGAGACGGAGCGAGGGAGAAGGAGGGGCAGATAGAGAGAGAGAGAGAGAGAGAGGGGGGGGGAGAGAGACGCGCGTCGTTACAAAGCTCGCGTTTGCGGAATGTAATTTCAAGAGTTTAATAAGGCAGGATAGGATGCGCGGCCGGGACACACTCGCAGTTTTCGACTTCGCATAATCGATATATCGCCGCTGGTCATTTCGGTCTTCGCTCGCAGCGAGCCGCGCGCGCGCACGCGCGTGTTATCGCAAGGCGTGTGCTCACTCGTTCTCGCCGTATTAATGGCGTATTCATATATTACAGAGTGTTTCGATATTGTCCACCGGATGTGGATCTATAGACGCGCATTTTTGTCATTAATTGGGGCGCAGCGCTGGGAGTAGGCGTATCTCCGATTTCTTCGTTAAAATTCAAACGCTGCTTCCGACTCAAACGCGCGTGCGACTCTTAATTATCTTATCATTTTGAGCTTTCAATATCCTAAAAGGGATCCTTTGATCCTTAAACTACTAGGATGGGTGGAAATCCACCCGATGATACTTTTTACTGGACAAAAATAAATTTCGTCACGTGAACCAAAGTTGATGTACATTTTTTGTACTTTTGAGGAAAGGATTTACAATGTTTATAAATATCTTGGTCCTTTTATGTTCGGATAAAGAAAGTTTCTTTTTTATAGTAAAGAGTGATTACTTTTTCTTTGAAAAATTGTATATGATTTAAAACTGTTTTACACATTGCTACAAATTTTTACCAAATATTTATGGTCCATATGCACTTAAAACAAGATAATAAAATATTATGGATGAAAATTCATCCGATAATATTTTTTACTAGATAAAGTAAAATACTAAATAAAGTAAATTGAATTGTACAAACTAAAATGAATATATACATTTTTTTTAATTTTTGAAGGAAGGATTTATAATGTTTATAAACATCTTAGACCATCTACGCTCAAATAAAAGTATTTTTTTTTTACAATGAAAGGTTATTATTTTTCTTCGAAAAATTGTACATGGCTGAACACTATTTTATACATTACTACAAATTTTTCTCAAATATGTATTGTTCATATGCGTTCGAAATAAAATAATAAAAAGATTATGGGTGAAAATTCAACTGATGCTATTTTTTATTAGATAAAATAAATTGAATTACGTAAACTAAAATTAATATATATATTTTTTTTTATTTTTGAGGGAAGGATTTATAATGTTTATTATTAAACATCTTAGACTATTTATGCTCAAATAAAAGTTTTGTTTTTTCACCGAAGTCAAAGATCATTACTTTTTTTTTTCAAAAAATTGTACATGACTGAAAACTGTTTTACACATTGCTTCCAATTTTCACCAAACATTTACAGTTTATGTCCATTAAAGAAAAATAATAAAAAAATTATGGATGAAACTTTGCCCATCCTACTAATAGGAGGTAACAAAAACATCCTAGTTTTTTAGGGGGTAAATACGAACTTTCAACAGAAAAATATGCACATGAGTATGAATATTCAAAGTTTCGACGTGGAATATTCTATGTCGAAAATCGAACTCGTGTTCAAAGATTAAGACAAAAATGAGTGAAAATTTTCGACGTGAAATCTATATGTATCCTTGAAATCCGTATTCATAAACCAAGACAATAAGAAAGTCCGCGGTTAAGTGCATCCCCCTCCCCCCCTCCCCCGGGCGTCGATGCCTCTGCCTTAATCGCTCCGTAAGGGGTCACGGCGCGGAACATAAAGCTACCGGGTTGTTATCGGCAGCTCTCCCCGATTACTCGAAATTCACCGGCGCGGTTGACAGCTTCCCCGAGAGCGCCGCATCGGAATTCGCACCGCTCTCCTCTGTGCCCGCGGCAATTTTATTCCCAAGTCCATCGTGAGTGTATCGTAGTGGCGACGAAAGCGAAATTGCAGCCGCGTCTACGACAGCTGCGGCGAATAAGCAGACCGCCGCATCGCGCCGCGCCGCGCGCGTGCGTACGTGCGTGCGTGCGTGAGCGAGCGCGTGTATCGCAGCAATTAAACTATCACTCGCCCTCACGGGACACTTTCGCGGGCGCAGCGTCGGCAACGGGACAATCGATACTCCGTCAGTCAGCCAATTTCAACGGCGCGACGCGGCGCGCCGAAACGGCCAGTTCGAGCGGCCCGATTTCGCCCGGCGCGGCGCGCCGGCGAAAATCCGTCGACAGCCGATCGCCTCGCTATCGCGCTATCGCGCCATCGCGCCATCGCGCCATCACGCACTCGCGCACGAGCACACGGATGCGCCCATCCGGATGAAAGCGATGCTCATGGACTCGGCGATAAAGAGCGCCGGACGGCTTGGAAAAGGGGGCGAGGGCCAACTTCGCAGACAGTTTAAAGCCCACGCGGAAATCCGCCCACTCGAGTCCGCGCGCGCGCGCGATTCCGAGTGGTATACTACTTGACCGTTCGAGTGGCGCTGAATAGCGAATATCTTCGATATTCGCGCGGAAAGTTCGCCACTCCGAGCAGCTCACGTGTTATATCCGTATGGCGGTCGGGCGAGCGCTTGCAGTATGAGGGCTCTTAATAGGCCGGCACGAACAATAACTGGGACGAGGGCCGGAAAGCCGTCGTATCGCGAACATATATCCGATATATTCGCCGCAGCGCCAGGGAGATGCGTGTCTCGTTAACGCACGCGGTCAGGAGGGAGGGGGAGGGGGGTCGCTGGAATCGCTGCGCGACGACGAGGGCGAATTCCGCGTTGATCGGATTCTCGAACCCCCGCGAGCCGAAGAAACGTCGCCTCCTTCCGCCTCATTCCGCCTCATTCCGCTTCTTACACGCCGAATGCGCTTTTGCGAGAGATTTTGCGGCTCGACCGGCCGCGATCGGCCGATCAGTCGCGCGTCGCGCGTTCATGCACAGTCGAGTGGATTACGTGAAAAGCGACATATTTAATACGCTCGCAAAATTAATGGCCTCGGCAAACGAAATTTCGCTCGAGCACAATCCACGCTCGAGCCCAATAATATTACGAGAGAGAGAGAGGGGGAAGAGGGGCGGGAGAGCACGCGAGTCAGATAGAAATTTTAGTGGCTTTCGATTCGGCGAGTCCGCGCTTTCCGACCTCCGTCGTGGCAAATGCGATTTATCAGTTTCCGCCGGTATATAGGGTGCGCCAGCACTAATCCGCGAATTCTTTGGCTAACTTTGGCCAGAGGGGGGGGGAAGGGTGGCTCCGCTCGGCTCGAGATCTGATTAGCCTGCAGTTTTATCGCAACTTCGTCGTATGCATTTGCCTCGCTCGCTCGCTCAGCCGCTTCTCTCCGTCAGATTTCTGCGCTCATCCAGTGTATTTGTTCCACTTGTTTATCGTGAGCTTATCGTTCCTCCCCCCTGCCCTCCCTTCCTTCCGCGCTCGCCCCCTTTCCATTAAAGAATCTCTATTTTCTAATAAGGGAATATTAAACAGTCTTTTGCTTCTCTTCCTCTTCTCTGAGAAGGCTTCTACCAGTCAAAAGGAATGCTAATTTAACGTAAACAATTTATGTTATTGTTTAACGCTCGAGAGGGCATCGCCACTCTCTCTCTCTCTCTCTCTCTCTCTCTCTCTCTCTCTCTCTTCTCCTCTCGCCGGGATATTTACGGGCGCAGAAGCGCTTCGGTAGTTCGCGGCCATCCGGTATAAACTCATTGTCTCGCGCGCCGGTGATTGTGCGATTTTGAGATTCGCAAAAATTATGATGGTCACGGCGCGGCTTTGTCGCGGACGGGCGACAGGCGCTGATGGACGAATTGCGAGCAAATTGAGTTCGGTCGACATGTTTTCGCCAGCCGATATTATTGCGCGACTGCTTTTATTGTCCGCGCTAACTGCAGCGGATTTCCGGCGACGCGACGGAGAGGGAGCGCGCTCGAAATAATTACCGGTATCGCGCATATTTACAACACGCTTCGTCCGAAACGCGATTTCGCGCTGCAGCGAACACAATGGTGACGACCGATTGAACGTTTGCCGAGCCGTTCGGTGCCTTTTGCACGCGGCGAAAAACAACCGAAGAGTCGCGGGCAATTAAATATCGGTGGTCCTTGTTAGCGGTGTCCTTGTTAGAGAGGAGTCGCGCAAAAGCAGCCGAGAAGGAGAGAAAGAGAGAAAGCGTTAGGCACTTATCCCCCTAAAACGGGGATTCTAATTTATTATATATTATGAACACGACTGAGAATTAGAAAATGTCACCTCAGGAGCCGAGCGACCAAAATTAGTCGCACAATTTTTTTCTCAAGCAGTTTAGCGATGAGAGCAACTTTCAGCAGCTGCGTTTCGAACACGAAGACGCGCGGGTAATGTTCGAGGCCCTCTCGTCTTGGATGCAACAATTTTGCAATCACCCCGACCCCCCCTCCAGCCGAGCACGAAGTGTTATAATGCGGCTTGTCATAATCTCTGCTGATACTCGCCAGAAATCGATGCATTAATAGCGCACTGCAAGCGTGAATTATTCTCTAAGGAGACGTCAGTAAGAGCGCGGCTACAGTAATCATGCATACGGGGAGAGAGAGAGAGAGAGAGAGAGAGAGCGAGAGAGAGAGAGTAAGAGAGAGAGAGAGAGAGAGAGAGAGAGAGAGAGAGAGAGAGAGAGAGAGAGAGAGAGAGGAGAGTCTGAGCGCACGAGTACACGTCTGAACATGTACCCTGTGTAACCCACATTCAGCGCGCGGCGCGCAGCGTTGTAAAACG